TTTTATTAATAATCATTGTTTAAATAAATCAAGTATATTCTTATAGCTATAGATAATATATTTATAAAATTTTAGAATTATTTTTTTGATTTAATTTTTTATAATTAGCAATTATTTTTTAGAGGTTGGGATATATAGGTGACTCCTTTAATAAATAGATTATTGATCAATTGAGTATAAAGTGGGATCACCTAGATTGCAAGAGATTCCAATAAACCCAACATCTAAAAAATATTTACCAAAAAGTATTAATTTAATCGTATATGATCGGTCATTCATAAATGCACTTTCGATACATATATCTTTATAAATGCACACATTAGTGTCTCTCTGAATGTATGCTTGTTTAGATTCAAAGCTTACAAACCTCTTTTCTAAATGTGTATTCTTGAAACCTTTGCATATAGTCGTGAGTAGGTGCAATTAAAGTAAGTACACTTTCTGGTCGGTTTTTTTTTAACAAAATGGATGAAATTTTTGAAAATTTTGAGGAATTAGAAAATGATTTATAAAAATATATAGCTGAAATCGAGAAAGTTGAATTAGAAAAAACTTTTAGTACAAATACTAATACTGATACGCAATATCTGAAATTGAAGAAACTAATACTGAAAACTCAAATCGATGTACTTCTGATGTTTTGGCAACATGTTAAATAAAAAAGATCCTAAATGTTGTTATTTTTTAACATGTAACTTTGTATTTTCACCAAAACTAGCCATCCTGTTAAGCATAATCTCTGAAGCTGGAAACGGCTGATGCCGGAAATTTTAAATATTTTAATAATATGAAATTTTCAAAAATTTTTGGGGTGCATTTTTTAGCTTTTTTTTTTACCGTTAGGATTTAGGGTTAGTTTTGATAATGAAAGAGTATAGGTGGATTTTGGCAGGGTTTATATTTTTAAATCGGGATCCCTAATTTCCAGCATCAGCCACGACATCTATTAACCCGAAAAAAAGTCCTGTTCAAATGTATTCGAAAAAAGAATAATTAGAACGGTTAAGGCTTTTAATTAAGTGGATTATTAAACCTTTTTCCGTTGTAGATAACATTTCATTTGGTGATCTTTTAAATAAGCTTGATCCCTTATTTGTAATTCCAAATAGTTGAAAATGTTTACAACACAACGATTTAATAATATTCCAATTACAAGGATCTTTGGACTAACCTAAAAATGGAATGTTTCATCGCGCTCACTATTCATTTTGTTAATAGTGATTGGAAATTATGTCATTTTACTTTAAATATTACAAAATTTCATGAATCTCATACGGGCATGACAATTATATATTAGAAATTGCTACAATTACATCAGATAACGGTTCGAATATGGTTTTAGCATGTAACAAAATAAAGCAACAACTTAATCCTAATAACGATCTTAATGGAGTTTCTCACTATCGTTGTATATGTCATATAATCAATCTTGCTGTTAATGATGGACTAAAAAAAAGTAAAAGTAATACGAGACTCATATTCGTATTTAGAAGATTTGGAACGATATCATTTAGTAGGTAAAAAAAAAATTTTTCTATCCAATTCTTGATGTAAAGACATGTTGGAATTTGACTTTTATTATACTTCAACGAGTTCAAACCCTTAAAGAGTCTCTAGATATCATGGCTATACGCCATTCATCATTAAAGGATTTATATTTGTTTTCAGATGAATGGAACAAATTTCAAAATCTTATAAACTTGTTAGAACAATTTTACATAGTTACGAAAGAATTATCCTACTATTGCATAATTTTTACTTAGTATTTGTTCGGATTTAAAAAAGTATAATTAAAGATGTTTCTATGTCTATTTATAATAAATTACAAGTTTATTGGGAATATATTGATAAGATCTTACATGTAACTGCATTTTTGGATCCACGTTATAAGAGATATCGATATTGCTTTTCGGAAAAACGATTGAAGAAATTCTTGATCCTATTCAGTGCATAACAGGAAACTGTTTTGGTTAAAAAATATGCTCCAAAAATGTCAATATTTGTAACACATTCAATAAATTATTCTACACAGCAAGTGGGTGAAATACAACGTTACCTTCATATGATAATAATGTTGAGCCCTTAACATGGATCAAACTGGCATAGCGGGCTTTTATTGTGATTGGTTGATTTTTGCAGATCATTTCGTGACATTTGCAAATTATGATTGGTTAATCGATAATAAAAATCGCTTAACGTTAGGATTTTTTATATGAAGCTAAATTGTAACAAAATATTTTATATAAGACTAAATTGGTCATAATAAACCATTACTATTATATCTGACAATTAAGAATCTAAGACCATAGGCCTATTAAAAAAAAAAATAGAAATAATAAAAAAATAAAGGTACAAAAGTACAAAAAACACATTAAAAACATATAAATCAATCTTAGTCAAAATACTAGTTTTATTGACATCAAACTATTTGACCCTAATAATCTTAATAATAATCGTGACATCACGCTCTAATCTCGAAATTTACTTCATTACTTCGTGTTGTTAGGCTTGGTACTAAATTATTTCACTACTTCGTGTTGCTAGGCTTGTTACTAAATTATTTCACTAAACTATTGCTGGCGGTACCTCTTGGGATTATAAATAAACCATAATAAAATAAATTAATGAAAAATAACTCTTTCAGAAACAAATTACTAAACTTAATAAATTTGTATATTATAGCCCAATGTCCATGTCCCATAATTATCTGCGGCCTGATAATGTACTTGGATCAAATTATTGGACATGGCTGATCGGTAATTCATGCAAATCACTAAAAAAAAGCAATCTGTATACTATACCTTGAAGGGAAAGGGGAAGATTTCAGCTCGTTCTGCCTAACTTGTATATAAATCATCGGTTAAGAGCCTGGATCTCATATTCCATCAAATTCTTTACCCTACAACTAAATTATATATAAAAATAATCTATGTGTACTCTATCCTTAAACTTTTTATTATATACTATATAACGATAATACTTATACTATACAAGGTATAAAACCGGTGGGTCTTATATGAAGAATCTGAATATAGGAAACATATGACCAACATCAAAAAGATAAAAAAAAAAAACCTTTCATCAGATCAAAGTTACCCTTTCAGAAATTACAATTAATTCTTTCTATGAAGAACTGACGCTTCTGAAGAAAAAAGAAGCTCACTATAGAAAATTACTATGTTTTCTTAAGGACCCATTGCATTTTCTATACCGAGCTATAATAATTTTAAATTTTGAGTTCGTTATATAGAGGTTCGTTATGTCCAAAGTCGACTTTAATGCCTTTATATAGTATACATAGTATTTATTTATTTTTTATAATGTTTAAATTCAGAATTATTTAGAATCGCATGCTTGCAACTAAAGTATTCTGTGTACATTCAGTTCCACACAATCCTTTTAAATAATCCTTTTAAATAATTATTATAAAACTAGGAACATTGGAACTTATATTAAAGTCCGTCATTGTGTATATTTTATATATAATCCACGAAATTGTTCCAAAAATACTAGAGTTAAGATTGTATGCGGTCTGGAAAATAATATATGAATTAAAAAAAATTGCATAATAACGGATTGTGGACACTTTTTATGAAAAATAGTGATTTATAATTACCCAATTCTAAAATAATGAGGTATGAATCCTTTATAAAGTCCTTGAATGCCTTCAGCTTTAATTGTCTTTATAAAGCAATCGAAAGTACTTTTATACAAGCTTTTATAATTGAAAAATGAAATAATTTAATAATTTTATTTCAACAAAAAAAAATAAAAAATACACACATATCAAATAAGAAGAAATCATACCTTCCTTTTCCGTTAATATCCATTTTTTGATTATACATACGTGTGCTAATAACATCAAATGGATTCATAGTTGTGCAAACACAAAGTCCCGTTATCATACTTGCTAAACTATGCAATAAAATATTATCATTCATCCCAGTCTTTTTAATTATCCACTGTTTTATATAAAAATAACTTGATAATTGGGTTGCAGAACCAACGCCAGTTCTTATCATTGCAGCATTAACACCTGCATACAACCCTTTTATACCGTCTAACTTCCATATTTGTGTTAAAGCACTAAAAGTGTTTTTGTAATTATGTTGATGCCCAACTGCCATATGAGTTGAAAAAGATTGCATACGAGTTTTGACCAAATATAAGGGAGAGCCTACAAAAGCACCAATAATACCAGAAAGACCTCCGGAAACAATGCTAATTGGTAACGAAGTGCTTGAAGTACCAAAAGTTGAGGTAAGAGAGTTTCGAATTGGATCATAAAGACCAAGACGTGAACCGTTCATCAAAATTTGATACGTATAAGCCGGACCTTTATAAAATCATATGGTTGGTGATATATATGTTGTAAGTTTTAAGTGGATTTTGAATTCCTTTGGGTTTTAAGGTTATGGTGTAAGTTTATATGAATGTTGTCAAAGGAAAAGCTTAACTTGGGAATTTAAGTTGATCATTTATTATTTGTTAGATTCAACCCTAATCAGAGCATATATGGTATTTGAGTAAACTTAATTACGTGTCATATATGTTCTGGATCACAACTGAGTCTAGCAAATAATAAATTTAAATTTCCGACTTGAGGTTTTTGCATTCATATAAATGAATTCCACCCTAAACTTATAAAGTCACTTAATTCCGTTCCCATTTACAACAGATATACGAATATGTTTCTTACCTAAACCTTTGTTAATGCTGAGAATTCCCTCATGTTTGATTATGTAGTAGAATGCTTGAAATACATTTTTATAAGGTTTTGCATAATTTGAATTACTTCGAGCTAATTCACCTTGAAGTTGTAACCGAGTTTTTACTACCTGTAAGGAAGGGAGGAATTAAACACAAAATTTCCTCTCAAGACCGATCAATGATAAAAGGCCAACCTCCCACGGATTTGAAAATGTAACTGCTGCACATGCCGCAGCACCACCGATTAATATCCCGGGAAGGGCGCCAATTGTTTCTTTAGTGGTAATGGTAGTCTTACTTATTGGTGCTGATACAGGAAGCTTTACAGTGCTTGATACTATTTTTTGAGAATTATTTGTTTGTGATATTTCAGTTGAAACAGTGGAAATTTTTGAAGATGATGTCATTTGTGAGAGAACGTTTATTAGATTATTTATGAAAAATGAACAAATACAAAATAGTTTTTGAAGAGAGAACAAAAAAAAATATCATCTATTTAAATAAGCGATATATAACAATGCATAATGGTATGACAAGTTTGTGTTACAGTTGAACTAATCCTGTTGATGACTAATACATTTCAGTCAAAGCTTTACCTTTATATTAAATACAAAGGAAAAAGTAAGTTTGATAAGCACTACGTATACTGTTAATACCATTCATTTATAAATAAAACACACATTTGCTATTTCGTGATATAAACCAGCAAAGTTCAAATATGAATATAAAAAACACCCTAAATTAATGACAGGAAAATATCCATTGAATTATTTTTGTTCCAGAAATTTTATTCGTAGTATTAACTTATCCCAGAGATGGGAAGTTGTTTAACAAATAGGATAAACAAGTTGTCGTTAAAACACGTCAATTTCATTTTTTTTCCCACGTTAAAAGAATCGAATTAGCTTTATTTTACACGAAGGCTTAAAAAAATAATATAGTGTTGACAAACAATTAAAAATATTAACGTTAAAGTTATAAAGATTTTAATCAAATTTAAGGGAAATTTACAAATAAGGGTCCGGAAAGTAAAAATGATTACAAATACGGATTCAAATTACATAAAAGGGCCTAATTTTTAAAAAATATTACATATAAGGGCTCAAAATAACAGCGACATTATTCAAGCCTATGGCTTGGTCGCTATTAGCATAAGAAATATAAATGAGTGCTACAGAGCGAAAAGCTGGAAGTGAATATTTAGCCCGGAAGATTACGTACTGATAAACAATTTTTTGATAGTTTAGTAACAATAACAATACATTCATACGAAATTTTACTAAATAACTAGGACACTAATTATATACATGATTAATTACATAGCATCAAAATTCACAAGACTAAATGGGTTAAACTCGCCATCTTGAAAATTTAAATATTCATTTTCAGTTTTTTGCTCTGCAGCACTCGCATGTAGTTATTAAGTGCATAAAAAATGTAATTATTGATTGTAAATTAATAATTATAAATGAGAAAAGAAATTTTTTAAATTTAATAAATTTCATTTTCTTTGTATAAAATTGGTTATTTTTATAACAAATCACTATAATATCAAGTAAAACACTGCAAATTGTAATAACATCTACTAATATAAAGCTAATTGTTCTGTTTTTAAAAGTTACTCTGTTGAAACTTCATTATTTTATAAATAATTGTATTAGTTTAACATTATTTTTTATATAATATTTAAGCAAAAATAATTATAACTAGTACTTTATTTATTTTTTTATTTAATAATTAATACTAAATAATTCTAAATAGTTATACAGTCAACCCTGGTTATAATCACACTCTTGGGACCATAAAAATACTGTATGTAATTATAACAAGAGTGTAATAATAATAAAAAATTAAAAAAATCAAAAATAATAATAATAATATAGTAATAATAATTTTAAAACAATATTACTAAAAAATTTATTTATTATTATAATATTATAATTTTAAAGAAAATTTTCTAAAGTTTTTTGCTTCATATTTGTTAAATATTTTTTCTAACAATATTATTATATTTTTTGAAAATATTCAAATCTTCAATTTTAAAATCTGCATTTGTTTATTGTTTAAAATAATCAATAAAAGTAGTTAAAGCATTTAATCCTTCTTTATAATTTATTAAATTTAGCTCTTTATTATTTAAACTATCTTTAAATTCTACAAACCATATTGTAAGATCAATAATTTGTTTATCATTTAATATTTTTTTTATTAATATAATTTTATTATCATTAATATAAGCAGCAAGCTTACTAATATTATTAATAGTTTCTAATTTTAAAATTTACTACAAATCTTCTAAATTATTGTTTCTAAATATTGTTGTTCTTTAATTACTGTTTTGATAATTGATAAGTTAGAATCAGATAAAATACCTGTTTTTTTTCAACAATTATGAATAGTTTGTTGTATAATAGTATTTCACACATCTCTAATAAATTTAATTGCTTCTAAAATATTTAATTTATTATAAGTAAATTATAAAAATAGTTATTGTAATATAATATTTAAGTACTGTACTAATTATTTATTGCAGTTTGCAAAATTATGCAAAATTTGCAGATCAAAAAAAAAAAGAAATTGATGATTTCTAATTTCTAATTTTTAATTTCTTTAGACTTTTAGATCTTTATATTAGACTTTAATAATATTAAAGTTAAATCTAAAAGTTTAATCTAAAAGTCTAATCTAAAAGTCTAAAAAAATAATAAAGAAATCAAAAATTATTGATTTTTTTTTATTTTTTGATCTGCAAAATTTGTAAACTGCAATAATTTAATTGATTAAACTTACTTATTTTCTTCATTTTGGTCAAATCTTCTAATTAACTCTTATGCATATAATTGTTTATATTTATGCTATATAATTATCAATATTAAATTAGATTATAAAAAAACAATATAAAAAATAAATAATTATTTGTTATACTATACTTTAAAATTATTAATAATGCCAGTATTCATAAGTTAAAGATATGCAATTATATAAGATGGCAGATAGTAAATGGTAATATTAGTTAAATTTAAGACAATATTTTTTTTTTTTTTTTTTTTATAATTGCTATAGATAAAAAAATAATTTATAATTAAACATATACTAATTTATATAGTAATTTATACAGTAATTTATAATAAAAATAAATTATAAATTTTATTAAAATACAATAATTAATATTTAGATATCCTCTTAGATTCAATTTGATATACCATATGCCCATAAATAAGTATTGTAAAAGAAAAACTAAAGTAAATATTTAAGTTATCACTACAGTGAACCTATATTATTATATTAGTAATAACTAAATATTTACCTTTTGGTTTTTTCTTTAGTGCATAACATATAATACTGTTGCACTTATTAATTACCTACTGTTATTATTATTATTAGAAAAACTACATTTATATCTATTGCTAAGAAATAAGAAATAACATCAATTTAGTAAATATCATTGTACTTTTCTCAGATTAAATTAAAATAAACAAAAAATACTAAATATCTATTGCTAGCATTATTATTAGAAGACATACCACAGTTACTATCAGGACTAATATATAGAAAATAAAATTAGATACATAAATACCTTATATACTTTTCTTAGACTAAAATAATCTTAGAAGTATTAATTACCTAATATTTTCAGAAAAAGTCTCATATCTACAACCATAGCTACAACTTTAACTATAATCATAACTATGACCACAACTATAACTATGGCTACAACTACAGCTATGACCATGGCTACAACCATGACTATGACCATGGCTATGACCAGAGTTACTATTATTGCTAAATAAAAACATATTTAGTAAATGCTTATTATTGTATAATTTTTTTTTTACTAAATTTAATTAAAATACTGTAATCTAAGAAGTATAGAAAATATTAATTTACTTATCACTACTATAATTTGTAGAAGATATACTATAACTATGACTAGGACTAGAAAATAAGAAAGTTTAGTAAATGCCTTTTACAGTATAATTTTTTTTAACTAAATTTAAATAATATAATTTAGAAAGTATTAATTACATATTGCTACTATTATTTTCAGAAGATGTACTAAGCCTATAACTATAGTTATGACTAGGGCTAATAAATAAGAAACAAAATTAGATTAGTAAATGTCTTTACAACTTTCTTTTTAATTAAATTAAAATAAATAATTAAAAAATATTAATTATCTATTGCTATTCTTATTTTTGAAAGACATATCATAGCTATAATCAGGACTAGAAAATAAGAAAGTTAATTAAGTCTTTTACAGTATATATATATTTTTTTAACTAATTTAATTTACTTATTGCTATTACTATTTTCAGAAGACATATTAAAATTAAGACCATAGTTACAAGGGCTAATAAATAAGAAACAAAGTTAAGTTAGTAAATGCCTTTATAATTTTCTTTCAAATTAAATTTATAGCAATAGATAAATAATCTGGAAAGTACTAATTACCTATTGCTATAATCAGGAGACATACTACAGCTAGAAATAAGAAATAAAATCAGATCAGATTAATTGTCTTTATATTTTTTTCTCTTAGACTAAATAAGTGCCTAAAATAAAAACTTAAAAACAAATCTTTAAGTTTATTACTATAGCAGACTTAGTATTATTATATTATACTACTGTGCTAAGTTCATTACAGTGATAAACTTAAAGATTTGTTTTTAGGTTTTCACTTTGCAGCATTCAAATTAATATAAAAGATTTAGATAACCTATTGTCAAAAGAAGAGCCATCATCACAAACATGACTAGAAAAACAATTAATAAATAAGGTCAACAGCTTTATTATACTGTATTTTATTTTAATTAAATGAATGATTTGAAAAATACTACAGTAATTACCTATTATTATTACTAAGTGAAATGTTATAATTATGATTCAAAGAAATAAAACAGTAATAGGCACAAGAAAATAAGAGATAAAGTTTAGATTAGCCTTTTTGTATTACTCTGAATATAGTAGAATGATCTGAAAGATATAAATTAAAATATATGGTCTATTATAATAATAATCATAAGAAATACTATATCTATAACTAGTATTGCTAATATTTATGTTATATGTTTTACTGTTACTTATATCTATACTGTCTATTTTATTATTATTATATTTACATTCACTAGGTTCACTATGCTCACTAAGTTTAGGACTACAACTATGAATGCATCTATAACTACAACTACATTTACAACTATAATCATATTCATAACTATGACTATGATCACAATTATGTTCACAACCATGTCTATAATTAGAATCTTCATTGTTTGTTACAATATTCTTTTTGTAGGTTCATAGTTATAATTAAAAAGTTCTTATTAAATTTTTTTTTCAATAAATAATTTTTTTTTTTAAAAAAAAAAATTTAGGTTAAATAACTTATACAGTTATTAGTTTGACT